TCCAATGAAAATCGAGACCCTGCCTCTTTTGACGCTGGATTCCAGTCTTTGTCAGTGAAACTTGGACTCTGGATTCCAATCTTTAGTAGGATTCTGGATTCCTTGAGCTCCAGATTCCAAGGCCCAGGATTCCACATTCTCAAGCAAAATTTTCCCGGATTCCGCAATCATTCATTCATTCATTCATAGTTTATTTGGTAAAGCAGGATAAGTTAAAAGGCAGCTAAAGCTGATGTGGACCTGCTGATAAACTATCTATTGATGAAATACAAAAAAATGTACAGAAAATAGGTATATAAAAAGAATAAGTACACAGTAGTAAGGAAAAAGACTAAACGTTAAGAACAATGAAAATACTATTTCATCTTGTTGAAATTTATATTGTCGAACAAGGGTCTGTTTTTCTTAAGAAGCTTTTTAAAAATGTTTAGACTGGTGCTCTTTTTAAATTGTCTGGAATGGAGTTCCAGAACAAAGCTCTCCTTGCAAGGGGCGAGCTTTGAGTATATGCAGCTGCACTTGTGGCATCAACCGATATTGCCCACTGCTCTGCGGCTAATCTGACACAGCTTTATTAAGAGCCTAACTCAGTAAACAGGATATTAATCTGGCTTTCCTGCCAGAAAACACCGAGGAATGTCTCGTACAAGTTTTAGTAACTTCTGTAGGTATTTATAGATATCCATATTTCGCAATGCTGCTGTAAGTAGACTTCATTTAGGAAGTTCTAGAATTTTATACCATAATTCCTATGGATTTTAGTCAAGCGCGGTGAATGGTTGTAAGTTGTAGAGTTTCACAGTTGTAAAGCTGCCCTTATTACGCAATAAATCTTGTTGCTGTCCGGAAAATCCTGCGCGTTCAGTCGGGTCTGCAAGCAACAATGCCGATCACTCGTAAACGCACGCTTGTTCAATAGCCAACCCGGATAGCCCTTGCTAGCTGAGATTTTTCACCCTGCTATGTTCCGTTTGTACTATTTGTTTAAAATTATTTGAGTACAGTGTCTTTAAACCAGGGTCAGTCTGCCGCACAGCCATTCTTTGTGTCGTCACGCAACGCGGCTGTGTAGCAGACTACTTTTGAATTACTATACTGAAAGTGATAGACATTTTTTTATGGCGCGTCTTGGCAATCAAGCGATACACTTCTAAAGGTTGACACAACACGTGACCCTTGTATTATGATACCATGTTAAACTTCTTTCAAAAACCAGCCTGTCTTAGCTTACCTCTAAGAATCGATAAATAAATTGCATCTACAAGCCACTATTTTACTTTGTCATACATCTTCAAGGACTGAAATTTGCTCTTGGACTCATGGGAGGCATTGGACTCAATGGACTTATCTACAGAGTGTTGTATAGTCTTTGCATCGTTGTGAATTCCGCATTCAGGGAATGTACTTTCTTTATTATAGATTAAACACTCCTAAATACTTACTTGGTCATAACAAAATCAGGCTAGTTTTGTAAAATTGTTAAACCTGCCATGGCCTACTATCGATAACTTTTCTCCGATAAAGTAGAAATAAGTCTCATGTTTTTTCAGCGGTAGATCTTTAAGAACGAATGTCGCTAAGGATTGAGCAAAATTCGAAATGGTTAAACAAAAACCTTCCCTCATACCTTGTTTGTAGTTAGTACTTCAGATGAAACTACTCACTGTGGCATTTGTTTGACTTCTAACAAAAACATGCACTGGGCATCAGGGGGGGGGGGGAAGTTTGGGCAAAAATTGCATTTTTTGGGACAATTTTGTCCTTGAAAATAGGAGTTTTGTCAGAAAGCAGACCAACGGTTAAGAATGTGTTTACATGATAGCAAAATACCATCCTTCCTCTCAATAAATTTCTCTAGGCCCCCCCTGACGGCCCCTGTTCATTAGTGCCATTTATACCAGGAAAATAAGACGCGTCTTAAATAATCTTAATCTTAATCTTACTTTTAAAGTGTAAGTTTATAATACGAAGATAGCAATTTGATTAGTAAATATAAATTGAGATAGAATAAAGTTAAAAGGGTCTACTTACACCAGCAGATGTCACGCATTTGTCCAGGAGGTCTGTTGTCGCCTTCTCCTTACATAAAAACAAAAAATATTTTTCCTCCGCGATGGACCAAGTGTTTCCTTTTACCTTTAACGGCGTGCTCATTGTATCACAGGAAAAAATAACGGATTTCCATTTTTGGATATTTTTGGGTATTTAAAGAATACCCATAAAAATCCCAAATTTGGCAAAGTGAGACAAGTCCCAACCAGGGAATTCCCAACCAAGTTCCCAGATTGGGACTTGTCTCACTCTTCCAAATTTGGGATTTTTGTGGGTATTCTTTAAATACCCAAAACTATCCAAAAATGGGAATCCGTTATTTTTTCCTGTGTATTTGAGCGAAGAAAAAAATAAAGCAGAACGAATAGACAAATAGACAAGGAAACGAAACGCGTTGAAATTTGTAAACAATTTTTTCCCGCCAGTGGCCTGCCAGTCCACCGCGGGGCAAGCCATAATTTTCCCTCCAAAAATTAACGCATGCGTACTATGCGTTCGCGTCTTATGTAAGACGCGAAGGTTTCTCGTCTTAGCTTAGCCTGTTCCAGGCTCCGAGATGGTGGTGAAAAGTCGTTCAGTAATAAGAAATGCGAAAAACGCGCGGGCGCTGGGGAGAGACAGGGCGGCGGAGCCTGTACGCATTTTTTTAACGGCCTGTTCCGGTATATCAGCTCCTGATATACCCTCTGATTGGTCAATTGTGACAGTTAACATCATCACCTAGTAGCGTGGTCATCAGTTTGTCATCACCAAGATGGCTAACGCGAATTGCGCGTGTGATCTTCACGAATCCGCGTTGTCTTGTGTTTTAGACGAGTGTCTGCGACTTGGCTCGCGGTAAAGATGTTTTCGGTATTATGCCCACCGGTTTCGGCAAAAGTTTAACTTTCAGCTATTCCCACGCTTGGCTAAAGCTGCTCTAACCCTAGAAAACTCTACGATAAGAGTCGTTTCGCCGCTAATACATATAATGCGAGACCAACTGGAACAACTGAAAAAGCTTGGATTTCCGGCCGCAGCTATTTGGCATCGGTGAAGAGGGAGAGGAGGACGAGAAGAAAGCGAGAGAAGGAAAGTGCGAAATTGTTTTCGGTAATCTGGAGTCCTGGTTGATTACAGACTGGCAATAACAAAACAGTCCAAAGACCGTTTAAGCCTATTCCGCTATTACCAAGGGAGAAACTACGCGCTCCAGTCAAAAGACTCACACTATTTTCAGAGAAACACTATCAAGCTGGCGTTTACTAAGTCACAATGCAATTCTCCTTAGTTGATGTAGCTTAAGTTTAAGCTGCACTTCATTCTTATAATTCTGGATCTGTAAATCACTATCCGTGATAATTTAACATTCTGCAAAGAAAACTAACGAGCTGGGCCCAGCGTGATACAAAATTGCAGAAAAATATTACATTAATTCACGGACTAAAGAAAATCACTTAGTTAGTCAGATCCAGAAGGCACTTTGGAGAAAATTAAAACCCTTATTGAGCCGCAATAAAAAGCTTTACGCTTCAAATTAGAGGTCAAAGAAAATGCTCTCTCATCAGGGGGCAAATCCTGCCGACCAGAAACAAACGCCACAGTAAATCGATATGTGTGCCATGACCTCTCAGTGTGAAACAAGCGGCTTAAGTCACATTTGTTCAGTGACAATGTAGAACCTTCCACAGCATAACCTACCCAACAGAGGAAAAAACTTACTGCCCCCTTTTATTGCTATAAACTAGAGCCAAAAAAAC